ATTCAGCTATTACAGTGTATGACTGTAAAATTACATTTTTCTGCATGTAAATCAGTTAAAAGTGTTAATATTGTACAGATAGTTGCTGCTATTTTCAGTTTTTACAGTTTCTGAACATTACAGTAGTAAAGCTTCTGCACATTTTATTTATCTATTTGTTTGTTTGTTTTTACATTTTTCTAAAGCCTGGGGGGTAAAATCAACCAATTTTGCATGTTATATTGTGTTTATTGCCCTAAAAGCAGCCCCGCGGTGGAAGCGTCTCCACACGGAGCGCGTTTCTTTCCTGCGTGGGGAGGCTCCTTCATGTTTGATGCCCTCCGTGGCTCGCGGCCCATAAATAGCAGCTGTAGCGGCGGTGACAGCGTGAACAGTCTCCTCCTCCTCCTCCGTGGAGCCTCGCCGAGTGAGTGAACGAGTGAACGGACTGAGTGACTGACTGACGGACCGACGGACGGACGGACGCTCGGTGAATGAGGGGGCGGGGTGGCGGCGGCGATGTGCGTCTGTGCGCTCCGGGAGGAGGAGGTGAGCGTTTCCAGCGTCTCTGCATCTATTCGGCGGACGCTACCTTCGGATGCAGCCATGTCACGAGCACCGGGAGCATCAGAGTAAGCGGCGGACACGGTAACGGACGGAGACGGAGCGCAGCGATGGGCGGACAGATAACGAGAAATGCCTTTTACGGTAAGGAGCGGCTCTTTTTCTCGCTGCCTTTGGCCGCGCGTTATTGTTCATTCATGGCGTGTGCGTGCGCCCCCCGTGCAGGCTCCAGGTACCGAGCCCGTTCCCCGGTCGCTCCTACGTCACTCCGGTGATTAGAATAAAGGTCGCCGCGTCTCCCGGTGCCCGCTCACACCTCCTCCTCTTCCTCCCGGTCGGACTTTTACGCGGCTCGGGATGGAAAGTTTTGGGTTTCCCCCCCAACGCGCCGCCGCGGCTCCCCCTCGTGATTAAACCCGCAGCTGCTGCAGCGGATCCATACTCATTGATTATCGATCGGCTCGTCCTGATTTGCTGATGGCAGCTCGGATGGAAAGCACAGCTGAGCAGCTCCCAGAGGCCTCTGAACAAGCAGCACAAGTGGCTTCTGTGGAGGCTCAGAGGCTGAACTGTGCTCCAGCTCCAGGCCTGACATCAACACTGCTCTGAGAGTCTCAACAATGAACAAGGAAGTAGAACATCTCCCAGAACCGAAACCCCATCAGAGAGAAGCACAGTGTGACTCTGAACACACGTTTATTATTAGCTTAAATGTATATGTACACAGCAGGGTGACAGATTAAAGGAAAGCCTGTGTTGTGCTGCTACAGTGGAGGGTCACCACCAATCAATATAAGACACTGTGACTGATCACCTCCAGTGTAGCTCCGGGCAACCAGGCCCCCAATATTTATCACAATGAAGTGCTTCATTTCACTCATATCGACAGCTGCTAATGATATTTAACGACCTAGTTTTGATTAAAACCAGCAGAGAAAGGTTTCATTTGACTTTCATGACTACATTTTAAGGAATCATCTCTTCATACAGAGTAAACAAAGGTTAAAGGTTGAGTAGATTTTGCATAATTTCTCAATTTACTCACTGATAACCATGAGTAGAATGATTTAGCGTTCAGATTGGAGGACAAAGACATTCTGCTCTCGTGGCTCGTAATCATCACAGAAGTCTTTGTCATGGTGCTCCTCGCACGTAAGAGGCTCCACCTGCAGGAACAACCAGGTACTGCAGCTGATCTACAACACATTTGCATTTCTTTCGGTGAATTTTGGACTGAAGCGTCTCCTCCACCGTCAACTAAACGGCCCCCAATGCGGGCTAATCTTTTGGAACAACATTGCTCAGAGTTCCCAAACTTGGAACGTTTAAGCTGTTCTGGTGGCGATCCGACAACTTTCCGTTTCCTTCAGTGTGTCACCCTTGTGTTTGTGTGTGAAGCTGTGGGAGTTAATCTGTGTCCGTGCTCCTGCAGCCTCTCCTGCTTTTGACCACCTGATCGTTCTAATTAAAGCCCCAAGATTAATCCAATTAGTTAAGGAGGGACAGACTAAGACAGCAGGAAGAGCTCCTTTTCTCTGGGATCAAGGTCAAACACCTCACAGAGTTTGTTTTTGCTCACCGTGCGTTCGATGTACAGCCTTAGCTGTCGGCCCAGAGTGTAAATACTAGCATGAATTTATAAAAGTACAGTTTTACAGTTATCAAAAAAGGCAATAATTATGATAAAATCTGGCACATAACTTTGCAAAAACATAATTCTGTTCTGCACAATTGCCGCTGTTCAGTTTTTATATTTGCCGGTAAAATGATCTGTATGTTTACAACAAAAACAACCTGAATTAATTCTCCTTATTCTGGTTTTATTGTGGTAATAATACATCTGATAATACCATAAATGATCCAGTGAGTCTCCACTTGACCCTCCAACAAACAGACTCTCTCTCCGCCTCAACACACGACTGAGTTTAGAGTTTAATTATTAGCCAAAAAAGACTCGACACACCAGCTAAAGATGAATCTGATCGACGTTTCGGGACATTATTATTATTTATTTTCTGTGACTGTTACGAGCAAACCGGGTCTATTTTCTGCCATAAAGAGTCAAACCTTTATTCTTTCCTATAGAGTTCTGACACACAACAGTCCTCATTCAGTCCGAATTCATTCATGACTCAGTTGGTATTGAATATGTAACAGCTGTTTAAAAGAAAAAAACATCTATATTTAGCGACGTATTTTGCAATCGCGTCACCGCTCGACAAAGAAACCGGTATTTGAACAACTGACAGTGATTCAGAAGTTGTTTGTTAGCCTTAAAAGATTAGATTTTATTACTCAAACTCAGTACTACGCCTGCTTGTCCTTGACTAAAAGCTGTAGTTCTCTAAAACAAACACCGTTTCCTGCAGTTTTAAGTGTGATACTGGTGGTTTGATCGTCAGGTGATACTATCAGAAATTAATGAGTATTTATGACATTTAACTACACAGCAGTTCATTTGTTTTTGAATTAAAATTGACAAAAACTTGACATTTTTAGATTAATATCAATGAGCAATAAGCTGAAAATTGTGGATTCGGACACAAAGCAGCAAAAACAAAACAAAACAAAATCTAAAACTGTATCTGAGACAAACACTGGTGTGTCGTGCTCACTGTTGAGCATTTTCTAAACTTAAAAATATGCAAATTTAGCATTTCGTAACAAAGGTGTTTATCAAATCCGCCCCTAAACATCCACAGCTCATTTTTTTAACCAAAACAAAAAGACTAAAAGCTGTGAAAACACCCAGAGTTTAACAAATACGTGTCCCTATAGATGACAGAAAAATAAAAAAACGACCATCTTGCTGTGTATGAGCTCTTACTACATGGAATCATTGCTGCTGCTGCTGCTGGTTTCCGTCTTCGAAAACAGTTTGTGAGACTTTGTGCTGATTCAGAAACATGCCACTAACGTTCAACATACAGCAGCAGAACACATGCAGGCTGGTTACTGTTGAGGGGATGAATCGCTTTAGCGCGGAGCAGCGTTAGCTTGTCGCTCTGTGAGTTTCTGCACTTTCTTCTTGGACGTGCAGAGCGTGACACGGTTGTGCTTAAGAGGCTGTTTCCCTTCACCCAGGCTGTTTTTTCCTCGTACAGCAGCTCCGTCCTGTCCTGTATTGTGTTTCTGTCAAGCTCATCGGCAGCTCCTGTTTTTCTGTTGTTGTTGTTGATGACGTTCGGAGTCGGTTTGATCGACTAGCTGTTAGCCGTTAGCTCGGAGGCAGCTGCCGGCCACGTTTAGCTTTAGGAGAAGATGGTGAGCTGACGGTGATCGGTTGTTTGTTAGCATTATGGGTGTCTGACTGTATTGGAAAAGGATTATATTATTGAACACGCCAACATTAGAGCTGATCTATCGATTTGTTGGATTGATTGCCAAGACCTACTGCAGAGAGATGTAAACAAAGTGACCTTAAAACTAAACTAACCAACAATTACTTCCACTGTTGATGATTTTCTGGGTTAATTAATCAGTCGTTTGTGTCGATGACGTCCTTTTGTCCACAACTTGCATGCTGTCAGAGAAAAGGAAGCTGCAATCACAGGATCTATTCATTAAAAAAACCCACTAAAACACCTGATTTATTGATTATCAAATAGTTGGTGATTGATTTCCTGGTTGACAGCCGATCAGATAATCGGTGCAGCTCTACTTTTAGATTCTAACAACGATCCGGGCAGTGAGCTCAGATTTAGAGAGGGGTTTTTTTTTTGTCTGTGAATCTCAATGGGAGCAGGAGAGGGTTAAACCGAGTTTAACATTAAAGCACAACTGTTGCCATGGCGACGCACATCCATTGATAGAAAGCATCTGATTTCTTCACCCGCTTCTTTCTGGGAGCGAGAAGCTAAATTTAAAGAAGCAGACGATCATTTTTCAACCTTTCCAACTGTCTTTTTTGTTGTTGTTGTTTTTATTCCTGCAGTTCTTTTGGGGGGTAAAAACAGCGACTAAAGAGAAATCCATGAAGCAGGAAACTGTTCATGTTGTCGCTGCTCACATGCAGGAGGACGGATCACGCTTCCTAAAAACTGCACCTCTGCAGGCTGGCTGTTGTTCTCAGGTGTGAAGCAGCAGAGCACATCCAAACAGTGTTTTTCTCTTTTTCTTTTTTTTTGTTTTTGCAGCGTCGGTTGCATAATTGAGTCTGCCGAGTGTGTGGGAGCTCCACTTGTGTGCTCCCGATTGACTGAAAGTGGGCCAGTGTCTGAGGCTGATTCCAGGCAGCGTCTGGCTCCGCTCGAACTGAACTGGATTCAGATGCAAAGTTAACGCCAGAACGAGACAGACGTCGCGCAAGAAAGTAAAAAAAAAGTTTCGGGTCCCGTTAACCGACGCGCCTCGAAATAACGGCTGCGGTTGGTGTTTTTGTGCGTCTGGGAGCTCGACAGGCGGCTTTAATCAAACAATTAATCAGTTAGGCTGTATTTACGGAGCGCTTTTCAAACAAATGAAACGTATAAAAGAAATATAAATGCAGTAAAACAATATAAAACAACCCCCACCACCAACATTATGTTATAAATAAGTAGACACAGGGCTGGAGGAACTGATTAAATAACACACCGGGTGAGATAAAAATGAAATTGAAAAAAAAATTAAATTCAATAAAAAAAAATAATAAAATAGAAGTGAAACTTTACAAAAACAGAATAAATTTAAAAAGTAATAATGCACTAAAGCTAGACTAAAATATGTGAATAAGAGAATTAATACAGAAATCTGAAAATAAAATTTATTTTTCTTAATTTTATTTATTTAATTAAATTGTACATTTACAAGAATATCTGCTAGATTGTTATTTTTCTACTTAAGGGCAAATCTCTGCATTATAAATAATAATCTGTGTAATATATGTGCAATACATAACTCCTAGAACTAGTATTTATGTATATTTTAGTTTATCTTTCTCCGAATACTCCTTAAATGTTTGCACTATCCCCTTTGGAACACAAACTTCCCCACTGTGGGACTAATAAAGGCTCACATCATCCTATCTTTGGTGTTTGGTTTGCCTCTAACCGGCCTGGACTGTTGCTATGGAGTGACAGAAACACATGTCTCAGGGTCAGGTGGTGTTGTCGTTGGGATGCAACCGTTGCTGCTTCTGACTTCCGGGGCAACAGTCCGTCAAC